AGTTGTGTATAGCTCTCCGAAACAGGCAAAACAGAGTTTAAGTAATTAAAGAGACAATCATCATCGTTCTCACAAAATGCCCAGGGTCAACTTTTGACAGCAGATCTGATGATGCAGAGTTCAACTCTGTCACTGCTTATGCATGCAAATAACTTTACTCATGCATGCAAGTAAGCGTTAGCAGGACTGGATCCTAAAAGGCATTTTCAACTATTTACCCCTGATTTTGGGGCTTAGAAAATCCTCCCTCTTGGTTAAATACCAGGTTGGGTCTCTGATCATGTGCTTTGCTGTTTGCAAGTTATTAGGTGAGTGTACCTGCAGAAAGCAGAAAGCAGATAGAGCACGAGCGCAACTTTCATCTTTAAAGCATGTGTGCAAGAAAACTGGGTTTTAACAAGAAAAATGTTAAGAATAGAGAAGTTTACAAGAAAACTACAGAAGCAAAAGAACCTCCAGAGCAGAAAAAAGGAATATAAACAGATAATTCTTTATGACATGAAGAACTCTACGTGTCTGCTAGAATCCCTCTGCCTGAATCACCTCTGCCCTGAAAGCTTCTTTGGAGTCTGGGTCTTCTTTTGGGTCTGGGATCTTTTATTGTTCTTTTCCTGGACAACAGGAATTCCACCCCAACTCTGATGAGGACAGGGTACGATTTGTGGGATTTGTAATCCTACAAATCCAAAGGCAAGGCCTGGGAGAAGCATCAACAAAAAGAACAATTTGTGATGCTGTGAAGTGCCACGAGCCTATCAGGCGTTACAAATACTCCTTCTGTACTATTTACGCTGATGACTAGAAATGGCAGCATTGGAGGGACTCCTCTGACCCAACACAAGAGGTGTGCCAACCCTTGTCTCAAGTACTTTTGCACTTTTCGGACAGAAAATGGAAAGAAGCAGCTCTGTTACTGGTATACTGAAGGAGTACATCGAGTACTCGATGCACATGGATGCTCCAATGAAACAGAGACACCTAAAATCCAGGTGCTAGTGGAGAAGAGGGAAGACCAAAAATGGATAGGTGCATGTTTGGAGGCCAAGGCTCACTAAATGTGTGTCTACACCTGACAAAGCCAGCCCTTAGCTCTAGCTTGAGCTCCACTGTGAATAATAGAGAGGCAAGGGGCAGTTTCCTGATCAGGCTGTGCTGAATTTAATTTTTATGTAGGTGTCAAGGAAAGGGGTAGTCCCACCTTCTCCCGTGCTTCTGTCTGCGAGTTCCTCCTCCTACCTCATCATCAGCACGAGCAGCCATGCAGCTATGCAATGGCTTGGATCCATTCAGAAAGCCAAAACCTTACTTTCCCTCCACAAAAAGAGGAAGAAAAATCCAATTTTCAACCAGATCAAGAAGATGAACCAGCTCACCTCACAGCCACGTGGTCAGCAGTGCTGGCCTAGGAAGAAGCCAGCCCTGAGACCAGACGTGAAATCTGCACAGCAAATCCTGCTCGGTACGCTCAGGTCACGCTAAAACATCAACTGCAAGACAACATGTAAACATCACGATCCAAAGACACATCCAAAACTGGTCATAACGTTGACTTTGAAGAGTAATCCAAGGGTGAGGGCTCACCTGGGCATCTGGGCACTTCTCCCCCTGTGGATTCCCCTTCCTACAGTCCTCAAAGCAGCAGCCTTCGGGCAGACCTTGAGCTGAGGCTGCTCCCTGCCCTCCTGGTGGAGCAGTGCCAGCGTGGAGAGGAATTCAAAATCCACAGAGCCATAAAGAGGAGAGAGAAAGCACTGCAGGGCAAGTATGACTCCATGAGAAAGAGACTCCCAGGAGAAGGGCCAGAACCCTATACGCTGATCCCTACCCCGGGAATTGCTCATGCCTACTGCACCGAAGATTAGATAAAATGTATACAGAGCTCCTTTTATACTAAAGCTTCAAAATAGATCCTACGAGCTATGTAAATAGACCGAAGAGCCAGTGAGAGCTCTGCCCTAACAGGAGAACAGCGCATACCTACCTGTATTCTTGGAAATATGCTTATTTTTGGTGGATAAAAGAAAATCAAAAGAGCGAAGCTGGAGATCTTCACGGTTATGACTCACTTCTGCCAACCTCATGTTTTGGCAATAAAGCTGTACGTACAGGAGCCTGTAATAACAGGTCACACAGGGAGTTTCAGTAGCCTCTTAGGTCCTTAAAGCTACAATTCGGGTGAGCAATCTTCGATTCCGAGCACGAATCGTGCCAGAAAACCCCTAAATTCACAGCCTGGCAGGGCAGTACTGCCTGCGGGCAGCCCAGGCCATGAGGAAATGGATAGGAAACGAGGAAAGCCAGCAGGTAGATTCCAGAGATCCCCGTGCACAACTCCTGCAACTTCCCGGCAGCACACGGCTCCTATTCAGAGCCCACACTGCTGGTATGCACACCTTTTCCTTTGGCTCGATGCATGATTTTTGTTTAAATGTTGGCATCCTGATTCCAGCAGAACAATACGAGAGGAAGCGCTCTCCTCTTCCAGCTCCAATTTCCAGCTCGAGCTCACCCGTTTTCTATGCAAACTCCAGCCACAAACTCTGCATTTGGATTGCCACGGGCCACGAAGAGCTGAGCTCCCAAATTTACAACACAAAGCAAAAAGCAAAACCAACAACGCCTCCCTACCGTGCCTGCACACCTTCAGAAGGGAATCCCTCAGAAGTCAGCACACGTGGATGCCACCAAGACACTGCACACACCTAAAACATCAAGCCTTCGGATGTGTTAGTGAAAGAAATCACGCTACACACCTGCCTATCTCACGTCACGCTGCTTTAGTGTTTTCCTGATACGCAATTTATGACTCGTGCTGAGAAAGATATGGTTTATGATAAAGGTGTTGTTTTGTAATTAGTATTATTTTTTTAATCATCAAGTCTTGCGCTTACTAATGCAATAAGCAGGCAGTTTTCTGTATCAGAGAGGAAGTGCAGTTATACCAGCCTCCACGGGCTGCATTTTTTTGGGTCAAGATAATCAGAGAAAGCATGGAAAAAAAAGAAGTAATCCCTGCACCGTGTATTTTAGGTTCTCTCCTCTCTATTAGGCAGCATTTTAAAAACAAGAAACAATCAGAGATACTACAAACACACGTGGAAAAAAAATAACCATCAGCGTTCAAACTGCAGAACAGTTTTTTTTCCCATTAATTTGGGTCCGTGCCACCCCTAGCAGTGAACAGACAGGAAGAGCCAGCTCCCCAAAGCAGCAGCAGCTCCCCTGCCCCGCAGGTGGGTACACAGCCATTAACTGAAGATCTAAAATTGCCTCTCCTTAAACGGGTCCTGCCTGTGATTTCTCAGTAAATGGAACTGCTCCGGTGCGAGGGAGAAATTTGATCCCTTGCTTCAATTTAAGTTTAACAGTTAACAAGTTAGGGGCTATAAAAAACTGCAACTGCCTTTCTCTCTATCTGAAACGATAAGAAAAAAAGAATTGGGGGTGGGAAGGTTGTTTTTTTGTTGTTTCGGTTTTGTTTTTTCCAAACACATTCAATTTTAAGAACATTTTGATAAGCTTACCATTAAAGAAATGATCTTCAGAAGATATGCAGTTAATTCACAAAAATACTTGGCAGGAGCCTAACTTTACATATCTAATTCATATAACATTCTCCCTTATTTGTTTAATTCAAGTGAAATATTTTCCTCCGCCTTTTCCTTTTCAGAGGCTTTTCACACCCACATAACAACCGAGTGACTCTTCCCTGACCCTGCCTCCCACTCCTTTCGGCGCAACTGCTCACTAGAAACTTGCCGCGCACGTAAGCTCCTCTCCTGCCATCCAAAGGAAGCACTTAAGGAAAGGAAATCCAGCACAATGCTCAACCTTCCTCTTTTTTTTGAGCCCCTGGGCTCCTTCCCAGCTCCGTGGGGATGGGTGGTGGGTGTGCTGCCCTCCACGCTGCAGGAAAAAAAAAAAAAAAAAGGGGGGGGGGGGAAAGGTTCCTGAGCACCGTGCTGCAAACTCACGTCCTCGAGAGGGTTGGGAAAAGCCAAACGTCCTCATGCATCACCCAGCCCAGGCAGGGAAGCTGCCCCTCGGTGAAATCCTCGCGTCTGTCAGCACACAGCACCACTTACTGCAGCTGCTGTCTGCACGGGAGATGTGCCACCGAGCCTGATAAATCCAGCGAGCTCTCTTCTGCCTTCCCTATCTTCTTGCCATCTATGCGTGCAGCGTGATTTGCTGGGAAGCAAAAAGCTACGGCATCACACCACAGCCTCTTTAAAAGGAAAGCAGAGTGATGATGCTGATAAAGCACAGAAGGTGAAGTTAAACATCACCATCCTCGCTTTATTGGCCGGACAGCTAGGAATAATCACTGCCCCAAAAGAGCCTTATCCTCCAAAAACCAGCCCCAAACCTGTGGCAGTCGAGAGCAGATCCAGAGAGCACGATTTCCAGAGCCAGCTCCACCAGCCAGGGGGATTCCTTCTAGCCAACAGTATGCTAATCATTTTTTTTTTATTCTAATTATTTTTTTTTTTTCCTGAGAAACCACTAATTGGTAGCCTTTTTCTTGGGATTTAAAAAGCCACTTCAAAATAACGTTTCTATTCTAGGCGTATTTCAGGAAAAGTATCATTAAGTTCCAGGCACGGCCATCCGATTTTCATGTGAAATTCAAGCAAACCAAAGCCCTGCTTCATTCAGCGACAAGTATCAGGGATGTGAGAGAGCAGCAGGGCCTCTGGGATGGTCCCATCCCACGGCTCGGGCACGAAGGCTGCTTAGCACCCCCGTCAGCAGAGGTCTGCAGGTGGAAGTGGGGAGGGAAAAGCCATTTGGGATTGGTTTTGTCACCCTGATCCAAGCCTGCCCCCTGATTTCCAGGCTCCTTAACTCGCACAGGCCAGCCAGCGATTCTCTTAAGAGCTGCTCTGCTGGAGAACGAATACACCTCGCCACGCTCGCACAGCTGGAAAGAGATTTCTTTCCATGCCATTTAGTAAGATAGCATCTTAGCACTGAAAAGGAGAAGTTCATAAACTTACCCCTGCACTGCCAGGAGAAGCATCCGAAATCGAGCCCAGGTGTGATGTGAGGTCGGCTCCTTGCTGGCACAAGACCCAGGCGAGAGGCAGCAGGTACCAGAAGCACCTCTCCTGTGCTAGTCCTGCCCGGCCGCTCGCAGACGCCTTCTGAATCTGCCACCAACAAAAGAAACCACAATAAGACTGTTTCCCTAATTCTTCATAACTGAGTCAGTAGGTCAACAATTCCTTCGGTTTAGGAGCCAGACCAATTCCCTTAAACGCCCCCTTTTCTTTCTTTCTTTTTTTTTTTGTTCCCCTGCCTGATGGAGAAGCCAACTGTCTGCTGCCAGCAGCAGCTCAGCTGCTCGCAGGACAGAACCGAGCGGGCTCCCAAAAAAAAAACCACCTCGCCCTGGCGCAGGCATCCGTCCTGACACAGCCCCATTTTGTCTCTCACGGCTGGGAAAAGCCACGAGCAAATACTTACAAAGAAAACACAGGCAGGGAAGCGCTCGCCGTGCACCTTGCCCGCTGCTCCCGGCGCCTCCAGCCCCGTAACCCATCGCGAGCGCGTGGCGGCACGGAGAAGAAGAAGAAGGGCAAGATCCCGGTGCCAAACCTGTCCCCGCTCCGTCCCGGGAGCATCCTGCCTGTGCCTCGCAGGAGCGCTGCTCGAACAAAGAGAGAGCTCCGGAGCTGCTAGCCTTCTTCCCGATCCATGACTCAAAACGTCTGGTTGAAAATTGGTTTCGTAATAACCCTTTAGTACCACCTACTCACATCACCGAGTGCTTCTCACAGCAAATGCACAGGAAATCACCACCGAGTGCCAATGGAGCTCCTATTCCAAGAACGAGCTCTTTCGGTTATTCCTCCATCATTTGGAAACCGAGATGCTTTTGCTTTCCCTATTGCACAGGATTTTTTTTTTCTTCTTTAAAAAGAGCCTTTAACTATGATCCTGTAAAATACTTGGTTGATAAATCACCAGCTGAAAACTCGCCCACTGTAAAGAAAAGAATTTCACAATATGCGTTCCAGAAAATACAGTAACTCCTTTCTGGAAATAATTCACCGGACAAAAATCCAAAAGGCCAGGATTAATTTTCGGAGACCGTTTGCATCCTGCGCAGCACACAAAAGCCGATGCAGTTGAGCCACGTGCCTTTGTGACCACCACCGGCAGACCCCCTGAATCACCCAACCACAGGATGAGTCGCCGTGAATGATTTCCTCTTCTCCTGCGGTCCCCCGGCGTGCTTTGTGCCGCTGCCATCATCTCCTGAGCCTAATCCCGACTTGGATGGAAATTCCACAACTCATCTCCCGAGGCTGCAGCCACCGGCTAACGGCGCGGCCAGCTGCTCGCTCCTGCTTTGAGTCACCTGCCAGCGGGACAAAAGGAAATTGCTCAGCTGCGAGCACGTGGAGGCCCCCGCGAGAGCCTCTCCCTCGCTGAAATCCCACGCAGAGGAGCACTCGTGTCACCCCCGAGGGTGCTCAAAAAAAAAGGGGAAAGTGGCTAAAAAGGACACGACCGCGGCCAGCTCACCCGGCGTGATGCCAGCATCACCGGAGCGGCGAGGGAAGGGGACACACACAAACAGAAAAAATAAAAGGAGACATTTCCCAAACACGAGACCTTCACCGTGCGTGAGGAGAAGAATAATTAAAACAACCGAGAGAGAACTGATCTGTGGCTGCTTGGGAAGTTAACTCTTTGAAGGAAGCGATTAAGGAGGAGAACAAAAAGTCAAGGGTTGCGTTTATCAACAAGTCAACTCGCACAGCCCAGCCTGCTCGTCGCTGCCACGGCCTCTCGTGGGTGCCAGCTCCCACCCCGCTGCTATCACGGAGATTAGAAGCAGTTACTACTGCAAATTAATCAGTCTTTTCAGAAATATCAAGCCCCGCTTTGCCAGAATGACAAAGGCTACGAGGAAAGCATCCACAGCGTCCTGCACCTCTTGAGGAAATTCCCTTTATCTAACTCCTATTCAGGACAGCAATCAGTAGGGTTTCAGCGAGGAAACCCCATTAACCACGGCGCTGTTTATGAATTCAGGCCAGCAGCGCTCAGTTTTTTTTTGTTTGTTTCATCACGAATACGCAGCTCGCCAATTCAGCCACCCGAAACAAGCCTCCAACTTCTCCAAAAATGCAGCAGCCGAGTGCTAGGCAATTAGTGGCCGTCAGTGCCCATACGTGCGCCTCCGACCTTCGGGAATTTCACAAAAAGGAATTAATGCTGAAGATGTAATTGCCTAACCTGCTTCTGCACGCAGCAAGAGCCTGACCTGGTGGCTCGGCAGAGGGGGAGGGAGGCTCTTCTTGTTCCTGTTTCGCACCCGAGTTTTTTCCTGCGCAGGAGATGATCTAATTATTCAACGTGTCAGGGTATTGCTTCACCCCTTCTCGCGTGTCTGCTGCCATTAACATATTTTAACGATTCAGCTCGTCAGGGAGGAGGCGAGGCACTGTCCTTACAAAATCCATCACAAAGGCTGGAGGCTTCCCACCTCTGGTCCCGAACCGAGCTGGTGATGCTGAGCGCGAGCCGGCAGCAGAGCTCAGGACATGCAGCCCTCACGTCGCTGGGACCTGTTCGAGATAAAACCCCATCGGTGAGCTCTGTCCGGGATCATTTGGGATCCTGTCTGGTTCAGGGGGAGGAGAGCCCCCCAGGTGACAATCCTCTGTTGTTCCCCAGCGCGTGATGCTCAGCGGTGGGGACTTCAAGGGAGAGGGGGCTGTCACATCTCGATGCAACTGGGCACAAGCGAGGGATCAAAGCACCTAACGTTGGTCCTGACCGGCTTGGAACAACCCCGACACCCAAATATAACACACACAGCACCTGGATTTGCATGCGTGGGATGCCAGCCCGAGTTCCCGAGCCTTTTATCGAACGCCTTTCTCCTGGCACAAGCAGAAAGCTCTTCAGAGCTCAGCCCCTTCCACGCACCGGGATTTCGGGGATGTTCTCTTCTCTTAAACCTCGCCTCGAGCTACAACAACAGGTTTGCTCACGGATGCCATATATTCGATCCCCTGGTCCTTAGAAGCATTTCTGCAGCGAGTTTTGTACATAAGAGCAGTGTCTATATATAAACTTGTTTACGACTATTTCTAAGAAAGAGCCCGGTCTGAATCAGCTCCTTTATTGTGATCGAACACGCTGGGCCCGTTCCCAGTGCGTGCTTATGTAAGGCCTTCAAGGAAGTAGACACTTGTTTTGTAGAAAATCAAGCCAGCAGAGTAGTAGGTGCAACGGAATTACCCTGTTACACATTAAATTTTACTAATAAAAGGCCCGCGCGGCGGTCATAAAGTCAGACGCCGCATCCCATTGGCACAAATGGTCCAACATTTCCTGCCATAAAATCAAAACCCATTCAAGAAAAGATGACAGGTAAGAAGCAGCCGCTTTTTTAGCGTAAAAATATCATGTTCCTTGAAAGAAAAATCAGGTAGCAGCAGAAATGGCTCACCTAAACCACTCACCTAAGTCTGAAAAAAAAAACAATTAAAACAAATACATTCAAAGACAACTGTTTCCAAATGCATGACGTGAATTTTCCCAATGCAGGGCTGTTTTGTTTTTTTTTTTCCTATTTTTTATTATTATTATTATTATTATTATTATTATGGATGTGCTGCTTTCTTGTCCTTCTGAAGATCCCCTGCTCCTCTCCCACCTGCTGCAGCTTTCCGAACCGTGCCCCCATCACTGCTGCTCGCCCCGCAGCCCGCGGGGTTGCTCACCCAAAAAGCCTGGGGAGGAGGAGGCAGCACTGGAAGCCTGGTTGCAGCTTGAGGACTAACCCAGCTGCGACCTAAACTTCGTCTCATTTAATTTTAAATCCTTCTGGGGCTGACCCTGAAGCCTATAACCTGCAAAGTTTGGGGCTGAAACACCCCGGGCTCTGGTTCATGCACTTGGATGCAGAGCCTCACCCCAAAAGGCGCTGAGCACAGCCCCAGGGCTCAGCACCGCACTCAAACCATCCTTGGAAAAGTCAGCCGAAGAGATGCTGCTTGTCCCTAGGGTTTGATTTCTCTCCTTAATCCTCTCTCTGCATTTTATCCAAGCCACATAAGCAGACCTCGGGTTAGGACAGACACACTTCCAGCATTTAATGCTGGCACATTTAGTTTTCTTCCCACTTAGCTTGCTGGCTATTTTTAGACGTTTAAATTCTCTTATTCTCCCTACAAGCATCTTCCTTCCATAATATTATTTGCAGTTTGCAAGCCCAGTGCTAGAAATTTTGTGTTTTTTTTTCTTATATTTTCCATTTGGTCTCACGTGCTTACACACCAGCAGCACACACAAAGGAAGCTGTACGATCTGATCCGAGAGGCTCGGTTCCAGCCCTGCTCTGAAAAGGCTGACCTGAGGGGCAAGCGAGGGAGCACAGGAACGCTCTCCTGCCTTCCTCCGGTAGCTACAGCAGATGGATCACATAACCCAACCCGAACAGAAAGAAACCTGCCTGCTGTAACAAAGGACACGATGACCTCTAGGTAAAAACCCTAGGAACAGCAAGCACACAAAGCCCAACCTGCGCAACTCCAATTCTGTGCCAGAGCTCGGACCGGAGATAAGAGTAAGGACAAACACTCCTGCTGGGCTGGATTCAGACCGTAATTCATCGCGCACACACGCCGAAGGGTGGAATGAGCCTCGTGCCTTTTAACGCTCCTCGTTGTAGGGCCTGTGCTTATCTCGGTGATGAGGGATGGCTTTCAGGAAGATTTTGGAGTCTTTTGCAATTCGCTGTAGCCTTCTTTAGCCAAGTGGAGGATGAAATCAGGTTGCAAGCTGCAGCGGTCAACATCCTAGCTCTGATCTGCAAAGGGAGGGCTTCTTGCAACAGCTGATGAATCATTGTATGATTACAGACCACCCAATTATCATCTTCCTCTCCCTACCAAAACCAAAGTGTTTTAACCTTAAAATTCATTTGGTTTGCAAACTCCCTTCGGTTCCTCCGAGGGGAGGCACCACCAGCAGAAACTCTTTTCTCGATATGCAAGCACAGAGCTCTCGAGTTATCATAAACTTTGTAGAACGGCCTAAAAAATTTCCTGCTCCTTTTTCTGATTATCAAGTCCCCGAGGAGCTCACTCCACACACTCCAAAAACCAATGGGGTAGCAGAAACTTTTAAGTGCTTACCTCCACCCAGAACAAGAGAATATTTCAGAAGTAATGAGCACGAGGGGGTGGATTTTGGGGGGTTTCCTTGACGGGGAGTGCTGTGTTTACACCACTAGATGGCACGTTTGAAGCTCTTGGCATCTCTGCGAAACTACGGGTAAGACTTTGCTCCGCATCACACCGTGTTTATCCCGCTACCCTCAGCCGGGATGGAAAAGTACAGGTAAAATGATACCGGGAGCAGCCGGAGAAGGACGACAGGCAGGCAACCAAGGTAAGAAGGTGAGCACACGGGAGGGCACTGCTCGAGTCCTGAGCGCTGACACGTGTAGCCTGCAGAGCTGCAATTAGAGGAAAGCAACCTATGTGGCTGGGTATCACCCGAGGTGTACCTTATCTGATGCCTGCATGCTTTGAAATTCTCGAAATAGCGATTTGTTTTCCTGCCTGAAAAGCCAAGTCGCTGTCATTGATAAAACTCCAAATAGTTTCACTGTGCTCAGGAAGATGCAGGAGGCTGGAAGACCCCAGGGAGCCCAAAACCAGACCCAAAACCAGTTCCCAACCTCTCCAGCACACCGCTAACACCAACTGATGGCACGGAGAGCTTTCAGGGCACAACCTACCAACAGGCCAAGCCCCAGCACTGTATTTTTTCACCCGAAAACCCAGCTTTTCCACCAGGGCCAAGCGCTCTGCATCCCAACAGTGGTGGACCCGAGCTCTCCACCTCAGAGAAGCAAACACCACAGCAGCCCACGACCCACTGAGTCAGCTCCGCGGGCAAGCCACCTCTTGCAGCGATCCACACAGCGTGCGCCTCGCTGTGCCCCGCTACCGGTGCCTGGCAGGGATGGCAGCGTTTGGCAGCACCGCTTCCTTTAGGCTCCTGGCTTCTTCTCGCTGCCAGGTCCTTAATTTCCCTCAGCCCACTTGGTGAGCACGAGCATGTTTCTGCCTCGACCAACAATGCCTCCGAAAGAACAAGTCGGCTCGGCGCCGGTGCAGCTCGGGCACGGTACTTGTCGTGGCATCGCGTTGCAGCTGCAGTAAAAAGAGGATTAGAAATTCACCATTATGGCTTCAACGCTCGACTTAAGTCCTTGGAACCGGCGCTAATGCCAGTGAAAAACAACTGGCAATTTGCGTTCCAGCAGGAAAGAAATCTTCCTGATAAAGCCCAAGGGCAATGGCAAAGATACTTCTTGTCCAGATGGAAGAAGCCTTCCCCCTTCCAGTAACAGCTCAACCCCGGTGCTGTGGCAAACAACTTTGTTTTCCCTTTGTATGTAGGATTCAGCTCTGGAAGGATGCCCCAAACTACACGGACGACGTACAGGGATCTGCCTTTGTTGTCCTCAGCTTCAGGGCAGGACCACAACGTGCTCCATTCCTGCCTCCAGGAATCCTGCTCCTCTTTCCTGATCCATCAGCTTGGTGTTATTTGGGTATTTACATACCGAGTGTTGCCCTAAGCAAATATTATTTCCCCCAAAGTCACGCGGGCAGCAGCACCCAGCAGAAGCAGCCCAGCCAGGCATTGTGAACACACAACCCAAGAAACCTGATGGCAAACATCTTGTTTGTATTCATAGAGCAGAATAGAATCATTAAGGTTGGAAAAGCCCTCCAAGATCATCTGGTCCAACCATCCCCCTACCACCAACATCACCACGTCCAACCTCTCCTTGAACACCCCCAGGGACGGTGACTCCACCACCTCCCTGGGCAACCCGTCCCAGTGACTGACTGCTCTTTCTGAGCAGAAA